GCGCGCTGCCCGGGCCTGCGGGAGCCGAAGACCGCGGCGGCGGCTGCTGCTGCAGGAGGAGCCCAGGGGACACCGCCCCTGCCCACGCTCTGCCTGAGGCCATCGCTGCTCCCCCGGGGCCCTGTGTGGACTCGCCTCCTTGAAGGTGAACGGTTGGCGGGGGCGTCCTCAGTGCGGCGGTCCCTCCTGTCGCGTGCGGCCCCACGCGCCCAGGGCTTACCCGCAGCGCCCCGGCGGCCTCCCTCCCCTACGCCCGGCCCAGCCGGGGCCCGAGGCCCGGAGCAGCGCTGGCCCCGTTGCCCTCTGCGTCTACGGCCCAAGCAGCGCAGCGCGGCGCCCCTTCCGCCCAGCGCAGCCTGGGTTGCGCCACCTCTGCTCTCGCTACCCTCGTGGCGCGGCTGGAGGCCTGGGCCTGCGGAGGTGCCGCTCCCTGTCCCCCCCGGGAGTCGCTCTGCGCTGCGTGGAGGCTTCTGGTGTTTGGGGCCGAGGGAGAGGCGGTGGAGAGGGCTCGGGCGTGACGCGGCTCCTCCTGCCGCCGCCACCCTCTGGGGCGTCCTTCCTGCGGCGAGGACGCCCAGTCACTCCGGCGCTGCTCCAGGCCGGGTGGGGGAGGGTGGCTGACCGGCCGGAGCTGCGGACCTGGCTGGGCGGCGAGGATGGAGGTGGGGAGCGGGATGCTCTCATTCCCCAGGTGATGGCCTTCGGACCGCAGCGCTCGGGAGGGTGGGCGTGGGGGAGGGAACTTGGCCCCCTTGGAGATCTGAAGGGGAAGATAGAGGCGTTTGTGTGTGTGTTGGTGGGCGGGGGGGGGGGGAGGAAGGCAGTCCTTCTCACCAGAGGCTTAGCCTTTCTTCTCGAAAATAGGGGAGCTGTCCTGGGGCGCCCTTGTTGCTTTTCAAAGGAGCACATGGCTCGTGATTGAGGCGGCTAGCCTGGGGCCCTCTGCCATCCTTCCGTCTAGAGGTTCAGATCCCTTTCTTTTCTCACAGAAGGGAGGGACTAGGCTGGGCACCTCCTTATCCTTTTCTCGCCGGCACCTTGGACAGGGGTGGCGAGGGCTGGGCCTCGCCTCTCTCGGATGCCTGGGGGGCCAGGGGTGAAGAATCGTGGCATTGTAGTCACAAGACGAACATTATGTAACTGCAGGCTCTCTCCTGGAGAGTAAGGTGGCTTTTAAGTACTATGACAAAGTTGCCCCTTTGGACTTTGGGAATGAGGTTGTGGAGCAGGTGAGCTTACTGGGGAAACCGTGCCAAATTCATACTTTCACTTCGTTGTCTGTAACCAGACCCCACCCCCACCCCTGGGTTTGTAAACAGTGCCCCCTTCTGAGTGGTAACCTCGAATAGGCCACCAGGTGACACTAGCTTGCTTCACATATAAAGAGCCTTGTAATATCAGAACATTATCCCTGTGCTTCTGTTAGAGCTTTTCTCCAACCCACTGAGGTTGCCCATTGATCTCATTTAAACCATTGTTTTTAAAAATGAAGGTGTTGACTTGCCCAAGGTCATTTACCTAGGCAGGCCTTGAACGGGGTTCTCCTCACCTTTCCTCAGCACCAGGTGGTGCTCATAGCCTCCTCTTGAGGCTCTGACTTTTCCGCTTGGGTGTGTCAGAGGGCCCCTCTTCCTAGCATGATGGCAAGGGGTTCTGGTCACTAACCCTTCGGCTCGGGCAGCCTCTACTGAAGTGGGCTGGCCCTGCTTAGTTTGACAGTGCCAGCGAAGGTACCATGGATACAGTCAAGGGCTGCCTGACTGGTGGCTGTCATGTGTGCGTTCTTTGCATTTGGTCAAGGTTGAAGGTGTAGTTGTGAGTTTTGCTTTCCTTCCAGCTCATGCAGCACACAGGCTAGTGTGAACTCAGAGATCAAAGTGGCCTGGAACAATACCAGGGATCTCTCTTTGAGTAGGCAGTCTCCTCGTCTTAGATAGGGCTAGGATGAGACCATCTTTTGTTCACTGGGTTGGGCCACAGAGTGGCACTTTGAGGGTTGCTGCTCTGTGTGATGGGGCTGTGATCAAGGACAGAGGGCAGGATTTTACAGCTCATAAACGTTCTTCTGCAAAGCACGTTGCATGCTATAGACTACCAGGCAGATCCCAGCCAACTGTCTTGGGATTCCTCTCATCCCAGGAAGGGACCATGCGGGGTCTGCCTCAAAATTCTGGTTGCCATAGCATAAATGCCATGGTCCAGATAATAGAGATATGAAACATGGCTGTTAAAAAAAAAAAACAAACCAACAACTCTTCACTTTTCTTTGGCACCATTTTTTGTTTTAACCTCTAATGCCATGTTTTTCCCAATCCTATGTTTTTGTTTAGCGGAAAGAATGCTTCAGCATTTCTGTGAGGAAAGTAAGATATTATAATGCCTTCGTGTCACTTAGTAGGTCAGTGATCTTTGAGTGAACAAATAAATTTTACAGGAGGAAACAAAGATCCAGGGAAATGACAAATTAGTGTTGGAGCTGGGTCCAAAATCTAGGGCTTTAAAAATTAGATGGAGCTTTAAAGAATAAATGTAGTGAAGAGATGGGGGAAACAGAGAAAAGGATGGGACGGAGATGTGATGGCATGTGTGACTGCCCAGATTTGAGGCTGCCTTCTCAGCCTGTCCATTGCTAAGGGGCATCTCTGTCCTGGGTACTTAAGAGAAGGCATAATTACTGTCATTTCTGCTACCACTGGGCATTGGTGGCCTGGAATCTACCCTGCCCCTTTTTGTTTGTATAGAACAGGGTTTGGCAACCTTTTTTTCTAAAGGTCCAGATAGTATTTTTAGTGTTTATAGGCCATACAGCCTCTGTTGCAACTCCTCAACTCTGCCATTGTAGGGTGAAAGTAACCATAGTCAATATGTAAATGAACGAGCGTGGCTTGTTCCTTTAAAACTTTATTTACAAAAACAGGTGGTGGGCTGAATCTAGCCAATGGAACATAGTTTGATGACCCCTGTATATACAGGTCCTTATTTACAGATGCTATCACATAACCTTAGTTAATCCTTATAACAACCCCAATAGATAAAGAGCTATTTTCATTGCTAAAATGGAAATAATCAAATGCAGAAAGGCTAGTGATTTGTCGAAGACCACAGAGTTCAAGTCAGAACCAGAACTCAGGCCTACTGATTCCTATAGGAATTAATCTTCCTATTCACTTTCCTTCAACTCCTGTAGGAGTTCATCTTTCCACTGTGATACCAGTAATGTCTTAATGGCCATTTAATCAAGGGCTTATTGTGTTAAGGTGTTATGCCACCTGGTTTATCCTCCGGACAATCCTGTGATCCCCATTTTACAGATAACATGGAAGCACAAAGAAGGTTAAGTAACTTGCCCAAGGACAACAGCTAGTAGGTGATATATTATGTTGGCTATCAGTGCTGTTCAGAATATTGGAAATAAATAAGCTTAGAGCTGGAAGAACGTTTTATCATTTTACAGATGATAAAAACTAATTATGTCTTTTTTACTATTTGCCCTGAATTTCCCAGAAGGGGGGACGATGTCTCTGGTAAAAGCTTAGGAACTCCCTCTCCTGGTGCCTCATGTCTGTGTTTTCTGTTACCCTCGCCTCCTGCGCTCCCCTCTCCCACTGAGGCCCCACACCTAGGAGATGGCTTTTATTGTCCAGACCATGGACCATCAGCCTCACCTCTCTGCTCCTTCTGCAGTGTCACGATGTCTGACCGGAAGGCAGTGATTAAGAATGCAGACATGTCTGAGGACATGCAACAGGATGCTGTTGACTGTGCCACACAGGCCATGGAGAAGTACAACATAGAGAAGGACATTGCTGCCTATATCAAGAAGGTGCGCTGGGAGAGCTTTGGGTAGTGGCCAGGGTTGAGGGTGGACGGCTGAGATGTGCTCCAGGGAGGGCTGGAGCTGGGGACATAGCAAAGCAGATCTATCCCATGCAGACAAAACCCAAGGAACTTGCAAAGCAGACAGATTAGGGGGTGGTTCTTATTTTGCCAAAGCATTCACCTTAGGAGTTCTTTGGAGGACCTCTGTTGGTGTGTGTATGTGTGTTCACAGATAATTATGTGACTATAAGGCATCAGAGAAAGATAAGACTGCAGAAAAACTTCAGGATAAAATATAAATGGCTCAGTTCAGAACTATCCAAAATGAAGATCAAGGATATTTGGACAGATAAGATCATATGCAAATTTTAAGGGAATTGTATCATTTAAAGTGGGATATCCCTATAATAACCCTCATCATGTAGGGGGTTTTCGGTCCTTGTCTTAAGAAGTATTCACGGGTATTGCATCATCCCTTCCTTTCTACATTTTTAAGAAAAAGATGGGCTTGAATAAATAATCTTTTTTTTTTTTTTTAATAGATGAGCAATTTTGAGGTGATGGGTTTGGTTCCTGAAAAATTCCTGAGTGAATGGATATGGTTAACACAGTGAGGAAGCAGCTGAGCTTAGAAGTAGAAAGTGGTACCTAGGCGACGTGATTCCAAGCCAGGACCCATGCCCACTGGGGGCATAGTCTTGACATTCTCAGGGTGTATGAGATGGTAGCACTGGGGTCCATAGAAGTGGTAGGGTCTCCTTGGGTTTTACAGAACTCTGCTTTCCTACCCAGATGGATGGAATGAGAAGAGGAGACTCTGGAGTTCTGGGAGACCTTGTGAGTGCAGAGCCAAAGTGAAGCTGCTAGGGGTGCCGGCTCCCTGCTGAGTGATGGCCTTCCTGTCCTACCCAGGGAGAGAATCCAGAAACATGGGCTGTCAGAGAGAGAACCCTTAGGTTATCTGGACCAGCCATCTCGTTTTGCTCATGGGGAAAATGAGACCTAGGGAACTGACTATTGTTCTCCTGTGTTAAGAGCCCTAGTGGTGCAGTGGTTAAGAGCTCGGTTGCTAATCAAAAGGTCAGCAGTTCGAATCCACCAACTGCTCCTTGGAAACCCTATGGGGCAGTTCTACTCTGTCCTATAGGGTCGCTATGAGTTGGAATTGACTCGACAGCAAAGGGTTGGTTGGTTTTGTCGCCTTTGTTACAGAGTCTTGAGCCAGGACTGAAGCTAGGTTTGATGGCCCGTGCCATTTCCACTGTCTTCTGCTACTTGGAGTTGTAGTATGGGGACTCTGAGGAGACTGGCAAGTTGTGTGTTAAGCCCCAGGGTTGGCAGCATTGGTGGCCTATGACGGGTGGCATAGGCTGTTGCCCTTGTATGGCTATGGCAGGATACATCTAGAACTGAGCCATTTGTTTCCTGCTGCATCCACAAGTGGCAGAGAACTGCCTGTCTGGTTACGTCTCCAGGATTCCTGGGTGGTTTTGATGCTGAACTCCTGCCCCTGAGAGAAATGAGGAGATTGTCTTGATCTCATGACTAAAGTCCTTGTTTTGGAGCTTACAGCCCACACAGTGCCTGGTGCATGGAACTGCCTTTAACATTGACTTACACAGAATTTCTTCCCGGTACTCTTGATGTTTGTTCCTCATTTCCTTAGTGTCCTGGTTTTTGGTTTAGTAATGGGGACGGGGGACACAGTGGGTGAGGGAGGCTTGCTCTCTGTACTTGTACTGTGTGGTGTTGGAGTGATCTTTTATTCCACTGCCTCTCTGATTCTGCTAGTGGGGGGAGGGGGTGAGTGGTGGTGGGGTAGTGAGAGGGAGGAGAGACGATGGGGTATAAAGTGCTAGAGGCTCAGTGGAGAGAAATAATGGAGCCTTTGTGGTGTTACATTATTAATGAGGGAAGGAGTGTCCTAGCTGGCCTTAGAACTTGAGCTCCTGAGGTTCAGGGAGCTGAGGCCATGGGCTGGGGGTGGTGTGGGGGTGATAACAACTAAATGGGTATTAGTGCTGGACTTGTAGGGAGAGACTCCTCTTCTGATTTCTTATCCTCCAGCTGCCCTAATCACTTTCTTCTCCCCCTTTCATTCTTCTTTTAGGAATTTGACAAGAAATATAACCCTACCTGGCATTGTATCGTGGGCCGAAATTTTGGCAGCTACGTCACACACGAGACAAAGCACTTCATCTATTTTTACTTGGGTCAAGTTGCAATCCTCCTCTTCAAGTCAGGCTAGGTGGCCGCGGCGAAGGCATCAGTGGCGGCGGCGGCAGCGATGGCAGGCGGGCGGCGTTGCTGGGACTGTTTTGCACTGGGGGCCAGCACCAGGATGTCCTCTCCAATGGCTGTGCTACTGCATGGACTGTATACTCGATTTCATGTGTATGTCGCAGTAAACAAAACCAAACTTCTTTCTGTTTAGTTGCCTGGGGAAGAAGGCTGCTTTATGTTTAATTTTCGAGACTTTAATTTTTTTTTTTTTGGTTGTATTGCACTAGGAAATCTCTCCCTATCCCTCCCTTTTCTCTTTCTTTCCCTATACAAAATGAAAATCCCTCAACAAAGCCCCTAAGACTAGGAGGGCTAAGGAAGAGAAATAAGTCTCTGGAGGTGGAACTAAAACTGTGCAGCTGCCTCTTCCTGGTGGTGGATGCTGCTTTGGGAGGCCAAGGAGGCTGTGGGGGGACAGTGTTAGGGTTGGCAAGGAGAGAAGGATAGGAAGGAGGGTGGGGGGATTGCTCTAGTACCAGGGAGAATATTCCACTGAACTGTGATTCTACGACTTGGAGCAGGGGTGGGGTGGGGGGTGGATTCTTTAAGGGGCCCTGAGACGTGTTTGTCTGTGGTGTGTGGGAGTGGGGAGCAGACTCGTCTTGCTGTCTTTTGTCAAGAGTTTTCTAAGTAAGGGCTCTGTCTTTGTGGGTTATCTTTTATTCTTCCTGCCAGTGCTCATGCTAGGAGGATGTTGGGGGTAGGATTTGCTTGATTTTTTTCTTTACATTCTCTCTTCTCCCCTCGTGTCTGCTCCCTGCTTAGCTCTCGGTTTTCTCATTCCTCTGGAGTTCTCTCAGAGCAGCCCCTGTTACTGGCTGGCAAGGGAATTTCTGGTGACTGTAGTTCCTTAGTTAGGTCTTAGCAATCAAACCAAATCAATGTCTCCCTTGATTCTCCTCCATGTGTGTTGTGTGTTTGTGTGTTTTGGATGAGGGTAGAGGGGAGGGAGGGGCAGGATAGTATGGAATCTCTAGGGTGTTATGGGTAGGTAGGGGAAACAGTTCTAAGTGGGCCTTTGTTAAAAACCTCTGGAGGTGTCTGTTCTGGGGGTGAAGACAGGTGTCACCCCCCCGCCCCCCCAGCCACCTGGCCCAGATCCTCTGTTTGCCCTATGGCCGTCTGCTCCTTGTGAAGGCTTTAGGAGTACAACCTGGGAAGAGATGGCTGTGCTGCCATCTGTGTTGGAGCGGGTCTCAGTGGAGGGGGAAAGTGACTGGGGGTGGTTACAGTCTCTGGTGGGAGGTAAGCATAGAAGTGATAAAGGGCCTGAGAGGGTCTTTGGGGGAACTGTGCAGGAGGTCAGTCTTGCAGGGATGAAGCCAGGTATCTGGAGTGGAGCAGGGCCACGAGTGGGAGGAGATTCCAGGGAGAATTCTGGGGAAATCTTGTCTGTTGATGAAACAGGGCTGGGGTGGGGGGTCAGTTGCTGATTCTCATGAATCACATTAAAAACTCTCATGTGTAGGGTTGACACGAGGGGGGGATAGGGGATCCAGGTCATTTTTTTTCAAGTCCATCTTTGGGGCTGGTGGAGAGCGGGAGAACGCCCCCTCCCCCAAGCCCTTAGTGTGCGCCGAGCTTTCTTTTCGAAGCCAGGAAGTGGGGGAGGGTGGGGACTGAGGTGGTGACTGAGTTCCCTGTATCAAACCCCTCAGTGGGCACTATCTGTGGCAGATTGAGTGCTTGGTTTTAGATTTTGTTTTATTTTATTTTTTTATGAATGTCCAAATCTGTGTTTTCCCCTTCCCTCCCAGACTTTTGTGGCCAGTTGGAAGTGTCTGGTTTATGTTCATCTCTCCCTCATTTCTGGAGCAGGGGCTGAGACCCCACCACATCTCCTACGCTCTGCATCCACGCCTCTTTTGGACATTAAAGGTCGATTGATGCACTTGTGAGCTGTCTGGGTTTCTTTGAGGGTATAGGGATTGGCCTGGTGGCAGTGCTGCCACACAGTGGGTGGTGGGGACGGTACCTATGGTGGAGTAGAATAGGGGTTGAAAAAATAAAGCAGAGAGATACTGATTGGCTTGAGTCAGGACTTAGTTGTAAGGTATAGGTTTGAGCCCCTTAAGTGAGGGAGAACTCCTCAGTCTTCCCTCCCCTGGTGAGGATAGCCAGATGAGCCACATTTTGGTCTTTGGTGTATTAGATGCTGTCTTCCCAGGTTCCTTCCTGGGCCTAGAGGAGCTTGGCTTTTTAGAACCTTTGGCCAGTAGCCCTCCTGTTCCCCTTTCTAGGCTTCCCTGAGCCTTGAGACTGTAACTGTTAGCTAAGTCCTGTTATAGCCACTCAGATGGAAAAGCTGGGGGTCTTCAGTAAGGTGGAACCTCTTCTGGTGGCACTTGAGTGATTCTCTGACTTCTCTGGGTTATTCTGGTTGTCCCACTTGGCCCTTCCCCACACACACCTGGGACCCTTCTGAGGGTATCTGCCTACCCCTGACCCTAAGCCATTGGCATCTGGGCTTGTGGCCCCAATCTTTGTGGAAGTATTAGGGAGCAGAGGTGCTTTGTCCCCATTTCTGTTAATCATTTGCTCACTCAAAAGCATTTGTTGAGTTCCTTTTATGTATTTGGGCCTAGGATGCTGGTCACACAGGAAAACAGGCAAATTTTCTGCTTCCATGGCATGCACATTCTAGCAGGTGGAGCAGATGCATACACATTGATAAGCCTTTTTCCAATAGTGATATGTGCTGTCAAGGAAATGAATCAGACAGTGAGCTGTTGCGTATTGGAGGTAGGTAGGTAGGGTTCCCTCAGGAAGTGGGAGGGCTGGATTTGGGGGGAAGACTACCTTCTGAGGTAGTGAGCTCCTGAGGGAATGAGACAAAGGAGTCTAGAACTCCAATTTCCGTTTCTGCCTTTCCTGGTGTATTTTGATTTAACTGGAGCCTTGGGGCTGGAGAGTGAGGCCACAGTCCACATTTCATCTGTAAGGGTGTCTCTGGGGCCCAAACTTACCCTCTTTTTGCCCTGATGGGAGAGGCAATTCAAGTGGCATCCATGGACAACACACTCCTGCATAGGTAGGTGCACAGTGCTCATCTGGAAGACTAATCCTGCAAGGCTTCCTGGAGGACAGGCCTTTACTCTGTGGAGCCCAAGAGCGGAGAGGTAAGGGTATGGGTTACAGAAAAACCAAGACTATGCCCTGGCCACTGGGCCTCTCTGCCCTGGAGTTGTGCAGTGCTTGACTCGTGTGGGTCTGAGGAGGAGCCAGGAGATGAAGAGGGATGGATACATGATGACTCCCTTGACTGGGATGAGATGAGGAATGGGCGGTGGAAGGCAGATGTGGTGATAGAGGAATGCAGCCACTGCTGGAACCATGGCAGGCTGAGTGAGTGGGCAGTATCAATGTTGCCACCTCATCTGCTTCTCCCAACTTCTGGGGCTTTCCTTTGGCTGAACCCAACCAAAAAGCAGATGGCGTGGCTCACCAGAGGATGTCTGTAGAGGAAGGGTGGGGAATTAATTGAAGTGGGGTAGGGGGGCACAAGTGAGAATAACCAGCCTGGAAGGACTTGCCTGTGTTGCTGTGTCTCTTAGACTCTAGTGTTCCTCTACCCTGGGCCTAAGGCGTGGCTGTCCCCTCACTTCATTGAGGTCTTTGCTCAAACACCTACTATTTAGAGGGGTTTTCTGACATCCTGTATGAAATAATACCTTTTCCCCATCACTATCAACCTTACCCGGTATAATTCTGCATAGCACCTGTGAACACTTTTTTTTTTTTTTTTTATTGTTGGTTTCCAACAACTAGAATATAAGCTCCTTGAGAGCAGGGGTCTTTTCTGTTTTGTTCACTGCTTCCAAGCACACAGAACAGCACCTGCCCTGTAGGAAAGGCTATGTGTTGACTGGTCAAATGAAAGAAAAAAAGAGCAAGCAAGCATGGGCAGCCTCTTTGCCCAGGACAGCCTCTCTGCCCAGGACAGCCTGGCCTTTGCTGAAGAGGCTTCTGCTTTTGGTTTGACTCCCACTTGCTGCTACAGTCCTATGTATTCCCCGCTGCCTAGAAAGGAGTGAGAGTGGGAAACTCCCCAAGTGTGTTCAGGCCTTAGCCTCCCTTGCTTGCTAGCTTGGAAGAAAGAGAGTGTTTTCATAAAGTGCATTTTATTTTTAAAGCATTTTCAGTTTGTTTATGCCATGGAAACCTCAAAGCACCCCTCTTAGCTAGACCCAGCAGTCATTAGCCACATTTTTGGATAAGCAGACTGAATCTGGATGAGTGACTTGCCAAAGCCCATGTAGCGTTACTAGAGCCCAGGCACTGTGACAGGGGCTTACCTGGGTTTGTCAGTCTTACTGACACTCCTTGAGATTTAGGCTCAGCTCTGAGTTTAGGAGTTGATTTCTGGTCCTACTGATGTTCTTTCTCCTGGGACTCCTGTTTAGCAAGAGCAAGGGGAGAGAATTCCCTGTCCTTTCTTCTCACTGCTCTTCCCCTCTACCAAGGGTTGAGGAGTTTCCCCTTCTCGGAGCCTCGTGGGAGAGGTCATAATGAATCTTCTAGACTTAGAAGAGAGAGCAGACTCCTGGAGTTCTGACGTCTTAGCCCCCCCTGAACTAAAAGCACAGCTTCCTCACCACCCTGCTTAATAAGGAACGATCTATTACCTGCCAAAGAGGTCAGGCATACCTATATGTATATCTTCGTGGTGTATATGGGTCTAGTGTCCACACCAATGTGGATGCATACTCCTACCCACAAGCTGCTGCTATGCCAATGCAGAGAGGTTATTAAGAAAAGAGTGAAGAGAACCAGCAGAACCCCAGGTCACTGGTGCCTCGCCGCCACCCTCTTGTCCAAACAAAGGTGTGTCGTGTTTGCAGTGAGGCCTCTGGACATGTCTAGAGAGAAGCCAGATATGCAAAGACAGTGTGGTGGTGTGAGCAGAACCATGGGTTCTAGAATCAGAAGACCTGGGGTTGAGCTCCAGCCCTACCATTTATCCACTGGGTAAACTTGAGCAAGTTGCTTGACCTCTGTAAGCCTCAATTTCATCAACTGTAAAATGAGGATAATACCTGTCTTCCCTAAAGAAGGGATGAGGATCCAATGACATCATGAATGTGAAAGTGCTTTGAAGTTGGAAAGGTATGATGAAGAAGGGGAAGGAAAGAAACAGAAG